GAGCAGCAGTACTGCACCCTGTTTTTGCTATTGTTTTTGCTCTGTTTTTTCAATTCTTTCACTGTTGGGAAGAGGCAGAGAACTTCAAAACTTCAAACCTGAAATTTCCTCCTTTTTCAGTTATAGAGTAGAATTAATTGCATATTGTGATATGAATCTACTATGACTATCTATTGAGTTTTTAATTTTTGAATTGATATATTTATTAATATATTATTGTTATTGAGTTTTTAGTTATATATATAATATTTTATTTTTTTTGTATAAATTGTCGCTTCACATCAAAAAGGCGAGCGCTTCGCTGTGCGCCTCTCGCCTCAGTGAAGCAGGCCCTCGTCGCTATTTGTCGCCGCACGCTACACAAAACACTGGTTCAGACCAGTTCTAACATCCACTAAAACACGCATTTTTTTGTTTCTCTTTTTGGGTCTTTCCCTGTTAGGGGAGAGGGTAGGGCTTTACACCTACAAAAACCAAGAAAATGTTCTGATTAATAATCACTACATAAAACTTCATTAAGATCAGACAGACCTTTGGAATGGAATAAGGAGCATTGTCGCCAAAAATTGAGCGCACAGCCTCACAATCATGGAATAACTCCCTTGGACAGTGGAGCTCATCATCCATGCTTGATGCTAGCCAGTGAACATCACGGAGGATTCTGGTGAATGAAGAGTCAAAATAACTTCCTTTCTCCAGTGGAACTGAAATAGGAGCCAATAACCTTATCACAAAAATAACCATCCCACAAATTATCAAGCACCTCCAAGACATACTTGCATTTTTCCTTGTCATGCGTTGAAGATAAGCGTGACAGCAAATCGGCACACTCTTCAGATACCCAATCTTTTGCAACTGATCCTTTGGAAATCAAATCTTTATCCCATGTTGCATTCGTGGGAGCAGAGCATACACCAGAAATACTTTTCTCAACATGAAGAACTCGTACATAATCAGTGATTCTAATTTCCTGGAAAAACTTTCTCCACTTTAACACACCTCCAGAAAACAATTTGTTGATTGGATGCTTTAAGTACACATCCTCAATCTCATGCCACTCAAGATCCAATGCATGGATTAATTTACTCATATCAATGGGATTTTCAAATTCTTTGCTGAAATGGATAGGAAACTCAACAGGACGTTTCCAACCATGATTTGTCAATATGAAAGCATTTTCGCGCACTTTGCTGATAATTTGGTCTTTTTCTGATTGAGAGTCAGGGCAACTGGATTGTAAGTGGAACAGCAAGAAGGCAAGATACTCTGTTATTGTCTCTCTATGTCCTTGTCCATTTTGATCTCTGCAGAGAAATGGTAGAATATGCATCTTTACTATTTGATGTGCCGATAAACATCGGACACCAACTATATACAGCAACCTAGTAACATTATCTACTATTGATGATTCAGAGCATGACGTGCCAAGAGCAGCAGCTGCAGAAAGAAATGCAGGACTCACAGTTCTAAGAGTAGAATACAATATTGAGAAAGTGTCTGGCGCATACTCATCATTAGTTGTAGTGCCCATTGAATCAAAATGCAACCAAATTGTACCTTCATCCGGTGATCCATATTTACCATCTGAATGGGGAATAAAGGGAATTTTCTTGAGTTCCTTCACGAGATATGATTCACTCCCAAAATCTGCGAAGTTTTTTCCGTTTGATGACATCGTAAAAAATGCGTTTAACCACATACATAACCATTCCAAACCCATTGAGTTTAGACCACCGTCCGAGGAGCATAAAGAAGTTACAACTTGAAGGAGAAATTTGAGTCCATATTCCTCAATTCCTAGAGCCCTGACTAATAAATCTGGTAGAACTATATCTTTACGCAAGAAACCAACACCAAGATGCTAGTGAAGCAAGCCAACAGGAAAAAGGTTACGGGCCTCTTGGCTCCAATTTCTCAAAACTTTGCATGGAGGAACCCACTCATTATCCATACCTTCTATTATTAAGCAGTTTGACGTGCGTAATCTAGAAAGAATCATCCGAGGAAGATTAGAAAAGAAACCATGAACCTCCCCTACAAGGGTAACAAAACTCATATAAACTGTAACACCCTTTGCTGAATTATCCTTAAAACACGGCAAATCACAAAATGACGTCTCTGCACTAACAAACAAGCCAGGGAACTCTGACAACAACCACTGGTTCCAAGGACTATCTCCATATGCTTAGGAGCCTTATTAGACGCAACTTG